TTCCGCACGGGCCGGCAGGTGCCGCGCCTGGGGGTGATGCTGGTGGGCTGGGGGGGCAACAACGGCACCACCGTCACCGCGGCCGTGCTGGCCAACAAGCTGGGCCTGAGCTGGATGACCAAGACCGGGCGCAAGGTGGGTGTCCCCAGGGTGACCCCAGCAGGGTGAGGTGTCCCCAGGGTGACCCCAGCAGGGTGAGGTGTCCCCAGGGAGATCCCAGCCAGGGGGGTGTCCCCAGAGTGACCCCAGTGGGGTGGGTGTCCTCAATCCTCAGTGTGACCCCAGTGAGGTGCACTGGGTGTCCCCAGCAAGGTGAGTGTCCCCAGTGTGACCTCGTGTCCCCGGGGTGTCCCCAGTGAGGTGAATGTCCCCAGTGTGACCTCGTGCCCCGGGGTGTCCCCAGTGTGACCCCAGCGATGTCCTGAGCTCCGGGGTTGTCCCACAGGGATGGGGACATGAAGCTCGGCCCCTCCCCTCTGCCCCGATGTCCCGCACCCCGATCTCCTCCCTGCCCCTTCGGGGGGGCTCTGCAGCCCCTGCTCCCCCCCAGTTCGGGGGTGCTGGACCCCCCTCCCCCCACCCATCCGTGCCCTCCCCCTCCCCAGAAAGCCAACTACTACGGCTCGCTGCTGCAAGCCTCCACCGTGTGCCTGGGCACCGGCCCCTCCGGTGATGTGTACGTGCCCTTCCGGGACCTGCTGCCCATGGTGCACCCCAACGACATCGTGTTCGACGGTAGGTGACACCGGGGGACCCCGCGGGGGCCGGGGTGGCGCTCCCGTCCGAGCGCTGGGGTCACGGCCGTGTCCCCCAGGCTGGGACATCTCGTCGCTGAACCTGGCCGAGGCCATGAGGAGGGCGGAGGTGCTCGAGTGGCCGCTGCAGGAGCAGCTCTGGCCGCACATGGAGAAGATGAAGCCGCGTCCKTCCATCTTCATCCCCGAATTCATCGCGGCCAACCAGGAGGAGCGGGCGGACAACGTCCTGCGGGGATCCATGGCCGAGCAGGTGCGGCCGGAGCGGGGCGGGG